AGTCTTCTGAATCGCTCTTGACTGGTCCCACACCCAGGACCAATTTGTAGGGAGAATGTACCATCGGATAAAAAGCCCTGGGATCCCTGGGACACACGAGCAACTCCACCACGATTAGGTAGTGATTCACGGAGGGGATATAAATGTAAAGTTTACAATAAATGAACATCGATAGTAAGTTGTTAACTGTATAAAATAGTGCATTTCACAATATCTTTTACAATATATGTGAATAGCACATGAAGTGATTAGTTACCACTCCATCATGGACATCTTGCGGCCCTCCCAGTATACTTTTAGACTGTGTCGTCATCGATGGATCTGCTATGCTGGCCAGCAAGCCCACTCGGTCTTACCAGTTGAGTGCCCTGTGTGGAGCTGGAAGCAGGTCTCTGGAGGAGGTGTGGATTATAGCAATCTTCACCGGCTGGGACGTGCTCCTAGTAGCATCAATGTGATGTTTAGCAGAGCTCCGAATGGCTATGCTAAACGCTAGGTCACTGGTGAACAAGTCCTTCGTTGTAAACGACTGTTTTCTCTCGTCACGGCTGGACGTCCTGTTCCTAACGGAGACCTGGATTCGCCCCAGTGAGTCCTCGTCCTTTTCAGAACTTCTTCCACTGGATTGTGCTTTCTTTAACTCTCCTAGGACCGCGGGCAGGGGTGGAGGGCTAGCCTCGGTTTTTAGAAGTAAACTCCGTGTGTGGCAACTGCCTCCTGCCTCGTAATCGGCCTCCGAAGCACAACAAGGATTTTATCCGTGAATTTGCTGATCTTTAAGGATTTATCTTTTTAAAGTATGATCATGTTCTTATTTGTGGTGATTTTAACATTCATATAAGTTGTGAGGCGGACCTATTGGCTAAGGACTTTTAATCTCACTCAGTGGGTGAGAAAATCAACCCACACTAAAGGCCATACGCTGGACTTGGTATTGTCGTATGGACTGGATATTTGCATCATGGACATTAATGATGCTGGGATTTCGGACCATTTCCTAGTGATGTTTGATGTTCAGTTATGCAATATGGAACTGAACTCTGAGGGTCCACTGTGCCTATCACGTATGATTAATCCTGAGGTTGTTGCCCATTTCTCTGCGGCCTTTGCTAACTCTGTCTGTTACGATGACATCAGTAATGCAACTCTTGGTTGATGGCGTAGTCAACTCTTTCATTTCTAGATGCTCTTCTATTTTGGACACTGTGGCTCCAGTAAAGACTAAACGCCGTAAAACCTCTCGCCAACTCTGGCTAAATGAATCCACCCTCGCTCTTAGGCGTGAATGTCGTCGAGCTGAGAGGAGATGGAAAAAAGATCAACTTCAGGTGTCTCTTGACATCCTGCATATGAGCCGATCTAAATTTCAGAAGGCTGCCAAAATGGCAAAAACTTATTTTTTGTCGAACATCATTGCAACTAATTGTCACAATCCTCGAGTTCTGTTCAAAATCTTTAACTCAGTGGTTAATCCCTGCTCTGGTGTTTTGATGGGTGCCTCCCCGGCTCTCTGTGAAAAATTTCTAAATCATTTTATAGATAAAATCTCAGTGTTAAGGGCCCCACATTCTCCGGCAGTAAATCAAGCTCCAGTTTCCGAATGTTCTACGGTTTTTCAACAGTTTGAACCTGTGTCATCCTCGACTTTAAAGGAAATAATTAATAACCTGAGAAGCTCAAATTCTTTGCATGACATTATTTCCTCTCGTATCATTAAGGATGCATTAAATACAATCGGGTCCTCATCTTATTTTTAATGAACTCATCACTGTTTTCTGGCTGTGTTCCGACTGTCTTTAAGCATGCAGTCGTGCAACCTTTTATCAAGAAAAGCAGCCTTGATCATAACACTCGATCTGATTTCTAAACTCCCTTTCATGTCAAAATAGTGCTTCAGCAACTACAGACCCATTTAGAGATAAACGGTATAAGTGATAAATTCCAGGCTGGATTTAAACCGCGTCACAGCACCGAAACTGCCCTACTAAGAGTTTTCAATGACCTCCTTCTCATTGCTGACTCTGGGCGCTCTGCGGTCTCAGTTCTATTAGATCTGACGTCACCTTTGACACGGTTGACCATGATATTCTTTTGGCAAGGTTGGAACAAGTAGTAGGCCTTAAAGGAAACGTTCTCTCATGGTTTAAATCATATTTCTCTGAGAGGTCGTTCTCTGTCATGATGGGAAAATATTCCTCTTCTTCTGCCCCTTTTTGCTGTGGTGTGCCCCAGGGCTCTGTATTGGGTCCTGTGTTGTTTTCTCTGTACATGCTGCCCTTGGGCTCCATTTTTGAAAAACATAATGTCTCTTTTCACTGCTGTGCTGATGATATTCAAATCTACCTCCACTTGACTGGGGATGTTTTATCTTCACTACATCCTCTGTTTGATTGTCTGAGGGATGTCAAAGACTGGTTATCACGTAACTTTCTTACTTTAAATGAAAAGAAGACCGAAATTATCATTTTTGATAGAAATATGCCTCTGAGACAACTGACTGGCACACTCGGGCCTGTTGCTAATTTTTCATGATTTTCATGGAGTTTTCATGGATAGTTCCTTCAAACTAGATAAACAGGTTTCTACTCTGGTAAAAAACAGCTTCCACCAACTACGCCAAATTTCTAAGGCTAAACCTTATATACCACACAAAGATCTAGAGAAACTCATTCATGCATTCATCACTTCAAGACTGGATTATTGTAATTCTCTTTACTTGGGCCTGCAATCTTCCCTCCTCCAGCGATTGCAGCTGGTCCAAAATGCCGCAGCACGTCTCTTAACCGGCACTAGAAAGTATGATTCCATCACCCCTGTTCTAGCCAACTTACATTGGCTTCCTATTAAATATCGAATTGATTTTTAAATTTTATTGTTTACTTATAAAATCCTAAATAATATGGCACCTGATTACTTAGCTGATCTCCTCTGTCTGTTTAGCCCTAAGAGAGCACTGAGATCATCGGGTCAACTGCTCTTAGTGCAACATCAGGTTCTATTGAATCTTTTAAATCACGTCTAAAAACGTACTTGTTTAACCCGGCATTCGAGGCTAATTAGGGTAATTTACATCTGGCTCTGCATTTGGATTATGTAATTTTTTTATATCTGTAATTTATATTTTATATTGTGATTTTTATCTGTATCATGGTTTTACTGGAAAGCACTTTGCTGTACTTCGGTCTTTGTGCTACATAAATAAATTTGATTTTTTGTTTTGGATTTGATTTGAATATCTGGTACCTGGATTTTGTTTCACATAGGCACCTTGAACAAATTGGAAGTGCTTCATGTTAAATCTCCTTCAAGTGTTAGAAATGCAACTTTGAACGAACTTTGAATTGATCCATAAAGTATAGTACAGCTAGTATAAAACATAGACAAAAACAATCTATTCCCTGGAGTTTAGAAGTTTTATTTATGTAAAGTGTGCCGAGTGTAGCTGCAGGGTGTGGCCTCAAAGAAGTTTCCAGGTTCACTATATAAACACCAGTCAGCTGGTGTTCCTGGTTAGCAGTGACTGGCATCAAGTTCAGAGTTACATGTAGTTTACTGTAGCACTGAAAGTGAGGCCAGAACAGATGGGCCTGAATTATGCTCCCTTGCTAACAAACTCACAGATAGCTGCAGAGACCTTGGTTGTTCTTAATTTCCTACTTTCCTCTAAACAGGCATCCGTACTGAAGGTAACATCCACCCTGCACTCAGATCCCAGTGGACTCTACGCCTATTTCACCCATTACAACTCTACTTTTAGAGCAGTTTAACAAACACAACGTAGTTGACCAAAGTTATTTCCAGACAGCAAGAAAATATAAAACAGGTATTAAACAATAATGAAAACTAAATAATAGTAAAACGGAAAAAAAAAAAGAATAATAGACAATAAAATAAAACTAGAATAAACAAACTCCACACAGAAAGGCCCTGGCCAGGATGTGGAGTCAAACTCAGGACCTTCTTGGTGTGAGGCAACAGTGCTAACCACTGTGCCACCGTTTATAAAGCTAACAGGACATTCAGCATTCAACAGCAGAGACAAAAATGAAACCTAGGCTTCAAAAGCAAACGGAGTCAAGAAACACAGAAACAATTTGCATGAAAAAACTGGGATTTCCATGATGTAGTTTTTCTTCTTCTTCAGTCACCTTTTTAACTCACATCTCTCTTCATTTAATTATTAGTTATTATAAATGTCTGGCTCTGTCTTTGTGCTTCCTCCCCTAACCCCAAACGGCTATGCTGAGTGTTTCCCTTCCATAGTTGCCAAGGTAAAGACTGGTTGCAGGGTCTTTACTTTACAGTAAAGCATCTTGAGGCATCTGCTGTTGTGATTTGGTGCTGTATAAATAAAGGTGAGTTGAATTGCAGTATTCTGGCCTTAGCTTTCATATGCAGTGGATGTTACTTCATCCTTGGTCTCCCACAGATAAAAGTATCTGTTGCTCAAGTTTGAATGTAGTTATGGTCTGTGAATGTTTTCATTAGCAACAGTTCCAGATTGTATATTAAAGATAGCTTTCATGTCTGAAAAGTGAAGCCAAAGCTAAAGTGCTGAGTTGCAGACTGTAAGTCTTCAGCCAGTTAGCCTGCAGTGTCCCCTGTACCACAGTAAGGTCTGCCTATCCTGTAATGTCCCGTTTCAAAGAGCTAAAATGGAAACAAAATGCTCACAATGGGAATACCTCATAGGTGATGTCATGGTGGCTACATCAATCTTTTATAGTCAGTCTATGGCAGAACCACAAGCTTAGAGTTGTGGGACTTCTGAAGGCAAACATTAGCATGCATTGTATCGCCATTCTGCCTGTAGCTTAGCAGCAAAGTGTTATAAATCCAGGCAGGGATACTCACCGACATTGATGCATGATCATTGTTGTTATTCTGAGCAGAGAACCCCCAAACCAACCAAAAATGGAAGAAGGAGAGGGAAAGAGGGAAAGGACAGGAAAAGAAATGTGGCAACAATAAATGGACAGGAGGAGGTAAGTTCAGCTAGAGATATCTCGCATGCTTGATATGTCAAATTAATCAAGGAGTAAAACAATTCAGTTACAAAGCTGTGCATTACAGAAGGTGTGGATGGAGACACAGCAGGAGATAATAAGGAGAAATAATCGCACATGCAGGTGAGAAGGGCAGGTATAGCCAACAGACCAATCAGGCTGCGAGCTCAAATAACAGTTTCTGATTTGACAGTTTCCTTTACACTTATCTAATGTGCTCCGTTGGGTTGGAGATGACGTCAGTTTGCAAAAACATTGCACAAGCCAGTAACAGCACATCATGCAGAAATCAGCACTGCAACATGTACATAGCTCCACGTAAAACCTTTCAGACACCACCTACAATCTGATAGAAATGCTATGAGGGCGTAAAAAACAACAGAGGGATGGTGGGAAGTCAGGGAAGGAAAAAAACCAAACAAAAATAATCATGCGTTCGTATTATCAACAAAAGATCAACCTCACAGCACGCCACACAGCTAGTGTGTGAACAGAAAGGACAACAACAACACAACCCCACACTGTTTATGTTCCACAGCTCCCAGAGGTGCTGAGCTAACGTGTGGAGGTTGGAGGCGGCTCACACTCACCGGGAGGTGTGTGAACACCTGGAAGGTAGATCGTAGGAAGTTGATCAGGTCCATGAGATACCCTGAGGCGCGGCCGTCAGACTCGGCCATGCCCCATTCGTAGTCTGCTAGCTGGATGAACTCATCGATCTTCTGGTTCAGTTTGGTATAAATCTCTCCCTCTGCAGCATGACGAGCATCCTGGAACAATGTTTTCACAAGATTAATGGGAGTAGGGGTGGGCGATATAAACGAGATACGATAGAAACGATATAAATTTGGCCAACGATAGAGATTTTGACTATAT